AGAGAGAGAGAGAGAGAGAGAGAGAGAGAGAGAGAGAGAGAGAAAGAAATCATTCCAACTATGCAATAACTGTTCCACAATTGAGTCTAGTGTAACTTACCCTTTCTTGACAAAAATTCAAACGACCCATCTCCCAATTGACCCTCATCCTTACTACTATTAAATTGCAAGCCTAAAACTGAACGGAGTTTCCTGAGATGGAATATGCAAAGAAGCCAACTAGTTAATTAAATTAATAGGAAATGAACTCTTGACACATGATATAAAATTAAGTTTAATTAAATTTTGAAACGAAAAACTCTTTAACAACTCCTTCAATTGATTTCTATTTGCAAAATAATTATACCTTAGTTTATGCACTTCAAAATGTACGTAACTATTAGGATGCAAAATAGTCTAGCCAGACACCAAACTCAATGCCATATTAGTTATGCTGTAAAAGGAGCTTAACTTAATACAAATATTGAAATACAAGCTTTTTCGCTACCATCCCACATAATTTTCATTTTCAAGTAAACTAAATGACTTAATTTTTATATCATTGCATGAAGAAGAAGAACTACTAGAAGACTATGTGAGGTTGATTTTCTCAATAACATCATCTTGTTGAATTACATGGGGATAAAACTGGAAAGAAGTGAGAGCATTTTGTGAGCTCTCAAGTTCTAAGCACCTCTATGACTTTGTTCATTGAGGGGCGATCACTTGGCTTCATCTGTATGCACCACAAAGCTACCGTGACCATTTTCTTTGCAATTCTCTTTTGATCTTCTGTGACTTCTCGTATTTCCAATGCCATTCCTCTGTTCAATTGCTCAAATGCTCATGAATGAAACTAGATTTGACTAGAATACTCTGCAAATGGGTTCACATTCTTTCTGCTGCTAGTCATTTCCATCAATAACATCCCAAACTGTAAACATCAGTTTATATGTTTTGTAAAACAGCTCAAGGTTGTATGTCATTGTTACTTTCAACTAGATACAACTTGCCAACACCAAAATTAGAGATTTTTGGAGAGAAATTTTCATCCAAAAGAATTTTGTCAGACTTGATCTCAAAACGCAAGATTTGCATATCATAACTTTGGTGTAAATGCACAATCTTGAAAGCCACTCTTAGAGAAATCTTGTAACAATAATAACTTCCGTGAGTAAGTTTTTTTGGATTTCGTATACTAAGTTTAAGTAGTTAAATTTCTATAGAGTACACACATACTAATATACTGTCTTGCACTCTACATTAAGAAAAAAGACAAAAAACAAAAAAACAAAAAGAATAACAGTAAACCCTCATGGCTTTCAAGCTGGACTAATAAATATTTAATTGCTGTAAGAGTTCAGTTAATCAATTCTTTGTTGTTCCACTTGCAACTGTTATGGTCATGTGCACTTGTGCCACCAAGCAATGTAATTCAGGAGATAGAATACGCAGGAATTTCTTGTAGACTGGTACAGCTGAGAAGACGGGAATGCCAATGATAGCGTAAAAGAATGTATGTCTCCCAAGAAAGGAAGGGGAACTTGATATTAAGCAAATAAGAGCACGGAATGATGCTGCAATGTGCAAATACACTTGCTAGCTATTTCAAGACAAGGAGAGTTTATGGGTGAAATGGGCAGAGGAGGTTTATCTCAAAAGCGGAAGCATATGGCAGGTTGATATCCGAAATGACAGCCCCTGGTCTGGGAGGAAGATCTTGCAGCTAAAGCCTATTATGGATAACTTTATCTGCATAGAAGTCAGGGAAAGTGCATTAACTTCCCTTTTCTTTGATTGTTGGCTTGGTGATTATGCTTTTGTTGAACAAGTAAATGTCGAAGAGCTTAAGGCCTGATGTTTGAAATCAGAGATGGATCAGTGGATACTAAATGGTTGTATCTAAAACATACCAACGACAAATAGCAAAAAGTAAGTCTAAAATCAACTTCCAAATTAATCTGGGTGTACAAAACACCTCTCTAGTCTCTAGTCTCTAGCATCAACTGTCACCTATCCGCCGGACATTATTATCAAACAATCTTACAATGAGGCTGTAGCTGGCAATACAAACAAGCAATAAATACAGAGATGGTTGGTGCATAAAAACGCATCTTACACCCTTAAAGTTTCATCCTGGATCAAATTTCATAGCCAAACTAGTACTTTCTACCAACACCAGCTTTCCTCCGCTCAGCAGGACTCTTAGCCTTCCTCTCAGCACTGGCATCTATCAGATTGAATGCTAGTCCGCCCTCACTCCCAATGTCTCTCTTGATTGCTCGTATCATTGGTTTAACAATGAATAGATACTGTAGACATCAAGACCGGAGCAAAAGAAATTATTTATCAATCACTAAAATGTGAGATCAAAGAATATGATACGCTTGAAAGTTTATGAGGAGCTTACTTGAAGTAGTGCAATTAAAGGAATTAAGATCTTTCCTTTGTTATTGGGGTTTGGTCCTTCAATCATCTTCTTGTCAACATGGATAGACTTGCTTCCATTCAACAAAACTTCTGTGACAGTGCTAACTAAATTTGGAATCCAAGCAACTCCATTTGGAAGAACCTACCATCAAAAACCATTGTAATAACGATACCGAAAAAGAAAACAGCAAAAGCTTGCAAAGAAGGATAACGACAAGCAGCAACATGATTGCAAGTGGCTGACCTTTTCATCACTTTCATTCTTGTTACATCTTCCACTGTTCTCAACCAACACAACAGGTATAGTAGCTCCCTGAAAGAAGCAAAGGCATTATTAAAAACTAAAGATAGGACACACAAAACCAACAAGACAATCAATACATCATTAGCAAAACAATTTGATATTTATGTACACTCAGAGATCCAGAAGGAGGACTCTGAGTATATGATATGTTGGGTCACAACAGACATTTATGAACTCAGTAACTAAGATGCTCAGGGAGTTCAGAAATATGAGGTGAGCCTTTGATAAGGTTAGGTTTTAGAATTCACTGAATTGCCAAAACCACAGTATTAAATGAATTAGCTCTTAGAAATTTTCCCACAACACAAACAAAAGTAGTTATTTCAGACAGTTTTCCTTTTCTTTTTTTTTTTTTTTTTTTTTTTTTTTTTTTTGTTTCAAAAAAGGAAAGAACTAGATGAACATTTGTATTCCCTTTTCTTTTGAAAAAACTCAATTTCAGTATAAAACAACATCATCTTAACCAACCAAACCAAATATCTTCAGCTGATCAACTAATTTGGTTCTGCCGAATTCTGCTCACCCTCATGAATCTGAGCAAGATAAGTTTAACTCCACCTTTTCCCTAAGTCCTACTTCTAGGAATCTAGGCTGAGAGCCAAATATTTTCAATTCAAATCTAAAGCTAGTACACCTTTGAGTAATTTATCACTTGGAACAGCAACATCTGCTTGGCTTCACATCTTTTTGAGGAAGAATTATACAAATACAATAAACTAGTTTACACCTAACATCTTAATCAACTATAAAAATCATAAACTATTGATGATGTAGTGAGGACATGGAGTCATGAAAAAAGCGGTTTGCAGCTGCTCAAAAAAAAAAAAAAAAAGGACAAGCAGTTTGCAACCAAAAGTGCAAAATCTAGAAAAGTGACAAGCCACACACCTGCAGATCACCTTTCTTTAGCCGGGCACCCTGATTAACAACTTTTAGAAGAGCCTCTGATCTTTTGGAGACAAAAAGATCATAGTTCAACCCATCTGGCGGTGAGAGCTGAGCATGGGTAAGGACAATTGAAGCCCTATTCCATATTTCCTTACCAAAACTATCTGTAATTGCTTTGACAACTTGTACGTCCAAATTGTCAACCCTATATGCATCCAGACGGTCAACGTACAGTAGAACATCTATGGTCTTGTTTAAAAGGAATCTGCTTGTGCGGTTACATTCCAGCCCACCACAGAAAAGAAAGAAAAAAAAAGAACTTTTAAATGGGTTGAAGGTAACTTCTCAAAGAAGTTTCAAAAGAAATAAAAAATAAAAACTCTCCAACATACTTGAATTCTACCTCTCAAGCTGGTACATACCGTTTTATAATATCAAGTGCATGGGTATTAACGTAACCTCCTTCTATCAGCCCAGGTGTGTCAATGACATTCAATGTAAATCCTGACCTTGTACGTGACACTATCACAGGCCTTGGAGCTTCTGACTGGTAGGAAAGCATGATAAAGTCATACATGAAGCATTTCACAGAATAAATACAGGCTAAACCATGACCAAGTGAAGCAAAAAATACCTGAAAAGTGCTGACAGACACTGCTTTTTCCCCTATAATTGAGTTTACAGTAGATGATTTTCCAACACCAGCTTTCCCCATCACTAGTATTGTTAATGTGCTCACATTCTGCATCAATATAACTTACTACTTTAAAACTATACACTTTCAATTAAAACACATGTAACAAGAGAAAAAAAAAAGCTGCTGTGTGTGGTTAGCCACAAATAAATTTATACATTAAGTTTTAACTGATTACAGAGACTCATGTATAATGACAATGAGATCGAGAAGTTGAACCTCTTGCTTAAGTTTTCCAAGCAGTTCAAGCAATTTTGTTTGTGTGGCAGAGGGGAACTGTCCAATCCCTGTCCATTCACGAACTTGAGCTGCCAATGCCATAGCCATAGATGAATGTATGTCTGAGCATTTCAAGTGGAAAGACAGAAAAGCATGATCAGCACACAGATCCCATCAGGGGATAAAATTTCAATGTACACTAATAAAGAAAATGTATTTACAACTTCTCTTTCTGGAAAAAAAGAAAGAGCAGAAAGAGCAGCTTGTATTTACTTTGACTCAGTATCCATATTTATATCAAGTTTTCCTCATAAGTAAGCAAAGGGGATAATAACTGATTATCCTTCTCTAGAACCAGAATATATTTTACAGTATGTTTCTATTAAAGCACTTGATTCACTAATAAACAAAAATCAAAGTGAAAAACAAATTATTGCTCAAATAGAAAATAAAACAATGGTTTGCAGCTAGGAAAGTAGACTTACAGATTGCTAAGATTTTAGCATACAACCCATGTCCCCCAGTATCTCCTAACCCATTTACTACTCAATTCAAGAGAGACAAACACCCAACGGAGGGAGATATCCTATGTGTCCAAGTCAAAAACAAGCAGCCTCTATAAATGCTTTTCTCTGCTCTCCAGAATCTACTGTCACACAATGGAGTTCCTATCAAATGTTTGCCACTCAAGATTTGGTAAGTGAACTGAGTAAGTCTAACTGGAAAATTTCCCACCAAAATGAAAATAAAACTCCCATTCTTGGCAATAATAATGTAACTATGATACTAGTCAAGTTGTGTGTTTGGATGGAAGATTTGCAGTAGGAGGAAATTCATTTATGGAAAGGTTTTATAATGCCACAAATAAAATTCCTTCTTCGGTAAAAGAACTTTCACAATTGCCGATATCATCATTTATATCCCAACATTTTTAGGTAAAAATAAGGGTTTGAAATAACTCCTAACTAGGTATGGTATTGATTCAACTGCATTGTATTCCTACAATATCTTTTTACATTGTGGCATTAAGAACCCATCCATGTATGCATTTTTTTCCAATTCATAATGACATCTCACAATTAGTTATGTAGTATTGAAAAAGTGGATGCATACTAATTATTCACATATCATGCAAAGTGAATTGGTCTTATCCACGTCACATTGGACACGAACATTGGGAGGAAACAATGTTGCTGAATCATATCTTAACAAGGTATGTTATGTCATAATTCACAACTCCCTTATCAACTGAGTATGATTAAAAAAAAAAAAAAACCCTCTAAGCATTCCAACTATGGGTTAAGTAAATGTGATCTTGTAAGCTAAGTCTAGTGTTCAAGTCTTGAGGCCAACCTCCAAGGAAATTGAATTTCCTTGAATGCAGCGAGCTGATGTGGGGCTGCGTCATTAGGATTGCTCAAGAACACCTAAATTGTTCAAACCAACAAAATTGAGTATGAAAATAAATGCTTTACATATCAATAACAAGAGAGACAACAATAACAAGAGAGACAACTGAACTGCAGCAATCACCAGCCACCTGGTGAGTTCTCCATCAAGGTGTCAAACAATGACTCTGAGGACAACCATATTCTCACCTAGTCTCTCTACAACTAATCTCACTCCCCAACACCCCAAAAGTCAAATTATCTACCCCTTCACTTAATCTGTTGTTCCTCTCTTACCCAATGTATATTGGTATAACAAAAATATCCACTAAAACAAAGCAAATGGACTCAGCCCGAAATCAAAGCTAGAAGCTTTAATGATGGACAACGATGCACAATGAATGAAGGAAGCTCTTTTACCGGTGACATAATTCATTTTCCTGGGTAGCCATTGATGGGGGCAGAGGCTTTGGGAAGGAATACAATTTCCATTTGCTATGATGATTTTGACTAACTCTTAAATCCCATATTGTTAATTAGTATTGCCTGAAAACAAAGCCCATAAAACCATAAATCATTTCAAATTACATCATTCAAAAACCCTTCACGTCAAAAATTCATGAGATTGTTAAACCCTTCATCCAAACACACAATGAAAAACCTAAAAATTAGATACCCAGTTCACTACTGCGTTCCCTAGGAAATCTCATTTCCCATAGTATTCAACAAATGGAATCTATACTGAAAACTCGAGCAAAGAAATTCAAAGAAACATGTTCTGAAACTGAAGAGCAGCAAAGAAAAAGCAATTAAAAAAAAAATCGATAAAGAATGTAGAAATGGGATTTGGTTATTTATACCTTTCTAACGGAGAAGGCCACAAGTCGAGATTCTCACCTCCCGGAGTCTGGACGCCGCAAAATCACACGCCCTCTTAGTCTCACCTTCAGCTCAGATAATGTCGCGGATAGAAGATAATGACTCACTATTCATTTACATATGGTGTAATAACATAATCTTTTTAATTAAAAAA